CCCCAACCCCCCCCAAAACACCCCCCCTTCCCCCCCCCGAGCTTCCCAGAGCAGAATATAGGCTTAATTAAAAAAAAATTAAAAAATTATATATATATATAAAAAAGAAAATATAACACTAAGATAAATGTATATATATATATATAAAAATAAAAGTTATGAAAAAGCTATGTGATATTTTTTTATATCCAATTTAAATTGTATAAATTTTATCCATTTATCCCAAACAGCAAGAAATTTCTCTTGTGTTTGTTCCTTTAAAAAAGCCGAAATCTTTGCCATTTCCGCCAAATAAGACACTTTAAGGAACCATTCCTGCATTGTAGGCAAAGATTCCTTCTTCCAGTATTGTCCTACTAACAGCCTTGCGGCTGTAATCAAATTTAACATCAATATAACCTCCTTTGTATCACAATCAGTAACTATGCCTAGCAAAAATAATTGTGGAGTAAATTTTACCCTCCTTCTAAAAATTCTCTGAATATTCCACCATATCTTAATCCAGAAGGCTTTTATCTCTCTGCACGACCACCAAATGTGATAATAGGTAGCATCCAAACAACCACATCTCCAACATTTAGGCTGTAAGTCAGGGTACATGAAAGACATTTTTTGTGGATCAAGGTGCCATCTATAAAACATTTTATAAAAATTCTCCCTTAAATTCTGTGCTTGTGTAAATTTGACATTTCTCACCCAAATGGTTTCCCAGGTATCCAATGGAACTGGTTCACTAAAGTTCTGCGCCCATCTAATCATACAATCTTTAATTAATTCCGTTTCTGAGTCCAATTCAACTAGAACCCCATAAATTCTCTTAATATGAGTTTGTCTTTGATCCTTCACTTGCTTAATAAAATTTTCATCTTCTCTAAGAAAACCCACCTTACAATCCACCTTCCATCTGTCTACTAATTGCCTGTATTGAAACCAAGAATAAATAATAATATTTTCTTGTGCTAACTCTTCCCGTGATTTTAACTGCCAATTTTGTCCATCCCATCTGAGTAGCTGTCTGTAAGACACCATGTCCATTTTAACACCTCTTTTTATTCCTTCTATCACATGCCAAGGTATAGCCCATAATGGTACTTTAAAATCACCTTTATAATATTTTCTCCAAATCCTAAGTAAGGAAATTCTTATAATATGAGATTTGAAAGCCCAATCCAGGGTTGTGCATCATCTTGTGCGTAAAGATCAATCTGGGTTTATAACTGGTAGGTACATGAAAAACAATGTTAGACAAATCATTAATTTACTAGAATATTTAGACAAGAACAACCAAGTCCCCGCAGGGCTGATATTTTTAGATGCTGAAAAAGCCTTTGATCAACTGAATTGGCATTTTATGTTAAGAGTAATTGAAGAGATGAATTTTGGTGAAAAGATATTACAAGCTCTTATGGTAATATATCAAAAACAAACGGCACAACTTATTGTCAATGGAGGTTTGTCAGAGGTTTTTACAATAGAGAAAGGTACTAGGCAGGGATGTCCATTATCACCGTTGTTGTTTGTTTTAACACTGGAAATACTGTTGATCAAAATTCGAGAGTCACAGGAAATTAAAGGAATAGAAGTTAACAAAAAAGAATACAAGTTAAGAGCTTTTGCGGATGACTTGGTGATTACTTTGTTGCAACCTACCCATTCTGTAGTAAAGCTATTACAGCTGATCCATTACTATGGTTTGGTTTCGGGTTTTAAGATTAATGTTAATAAGACTAAAATTCTATCTAAAAATATGACTATTCAGGAGAAGCAGACTTTGGTTAACTTGACGGGTTTTGAAATTGTTAATAAGGTAAAATACTTGGGGGTGATGTTATCTGTTTCTAATGCAAAATTATTTAAAAATAACTATGAAAGGTTGTGGGCTAGTGTACAGAAGGACTTGAAGAATTGGGAGAAGTTGCAATTATCTCTCATGGGAAGAATTGCAGTGATAAAAATGAATGTTCTACCCAAGTTTCTTTTTTTGTTCCAAATGTTACCGATTTTGAAGAATGAGATTAATTTAAGTGAATGGCAGAAAGGCCTCAATAAATTCATTTGGGCAAGGAAAAAGCCAAGGGTTAAGTTTAAAATCATGCAAGACTTCCGTGAGAGAGGTGGACTTAAGGTACCGAATTTGAAATTATACTATGATGCGGTGGTTTTAACACTAATTAGTGACTGGGTAAATTTGACAAATCTTGAGATACTCCATCTAGAGGGATGGGATTTACTTTTTGGGTGGCATGCCTATTTAATATTTAATAAAAAAACTCCTTTACTTTTATGTCTGTATGTATCATTTAATGCATGGCTATTGTAGCATGACAGAATTTTGACATATGCTTTATTTTTACCAGTGTCTTCAAAGTGGAAAAAATGAAATAACAACAACCTCACACTAGTATTTTAGTTGGTACATTTTCTTCCTCTATAGAATCGACCTTGGGCACCTTGGTATTAAGTCAAGAAATACATGTTTTACGTATATAAACAACGTATCATGTTTTTACAGGCGAGCGAGTTTTTGAAATCTGGTTGTCCACTATGAAGTTTAGGAAAAGGACAAGCTGAAACGTTGTTTTCATTTTAGCAACACTTCACCAGGAATGAAAAGAATGAAGTAAAATAAGACTGGAAAAAAGAGTTCGGCAGAACTACTGTCCTCTATAGGCACATTACGAGTTAGTGTTGCTTGGAATACAGTAGGTTATAGATTCTTCTTTTAGGCACAAATCTTTCTCAAGAGGATAAAGTGGTACTGAATAAATATGAAATTTAAATGGAAAATTTCCAAAATCTTCAGGTCAAATTAAAGTGCGGCGTGTAAGAAAAATGGTTTCACAAATTAAATCTAGCAGTAACTTGGACTGGTCGCTGAAAAAAAAATCAGTTTTCAAATAGTACTTATATGTGGTATCCATAATGATCTCCAGCTTTGCTATTCACAGCCATAGTAGAGTACATCTACTATGGCTGTGAATAGCAAGGCTGGAGATCATTATGGATGATCATTATGTGGTATCCATAATGATCTCCAGCCTTGCTATTCACAGCCATAGTAGATGTACTCTTTAACTTGACCACTCAATTTGGAATTAGTTCTATATTTTTAAATATATGAAAGGATTAAGAAGTTGCTACATTATAAAGTAAAAGGCAATCCTTGTAGATCTGGCCCTTCTTTGATGCCTCTGGCAAATCATTCACTTAACATGTCACAGACTCATCTCAATTATCTATAAAGTCTTAACAAATGCAATCTACATTAAATATACCTCTTGGAAGCTGCATGAAACCCTGCCATCTGAAGATAACAAAACTAGAAAGTTAAAGGAAAATTCTAATTTTCCTACTTTTGCTAACACAGCTTATTGCTACTGATCGTTTAATTAACATAATAACTGAAGTTAAGGAATTATTTGAAAGCTGAACCTGAAGATATAGTTAATAAATGATTATGTATTATAATTATTAAGACCATACAGTTATGAACTATGTATTGCCAATCTACACTTCATCAAAATCAAGAGCCGTGGTGGCGCAGTGGTTAGAATGCAGCACTCAGGCCAACTCACTGCTCACTCCAGGAGTTCGATTCTGAGCAGCTCAAGGTTGACTCAGCCTTCCATCCTTCTGAGATCAATAAAATGAGGACCCAGATTGTTGGGGGAAATACACTGATTCTATAAACCCCTTAGAGAGGGCTGTAAAGTACTGTGAAGCGATATATAAGTCTAAGTGCTATTGCTATAGCTTCATGGAATGGCCTTAGGAAAAAGAAAATATTTTAGGCTGCACTCATATATAAATTGAAACATGAAGATAATCCTGATCCTATCTTACACAGTTTCCATAACTCGTGATTTGTTACCTTTAATTTTCAGTAATTGTTGGTCTACAATTTTCATCTTCCTCAGCCAGCGTGGCCAAAATGCTAATATTCAAGAAGGATAGGAATTGTAAACCAGCACTACCTGTAAGAATTGCTTTGATAATGCTTGATGCCTAGCCTCAATCTTGGAGGGAGTGGGCAAACATGTTTGTGAAGGTTTATTATTTATTTATATATTTTTATGCTGCCACAATCTGAAATACACTTTCTGTCTTTAGGAAAATTACTGTGTACTCGGCCATCCATATGTTTCAGAAATATTTCCTTGCCTAAACAGATAAACAAAATGACCATGGGCAGTCAAAAATTCAGTGGTAGCAGGTGTGATTTCTAACTTTCTGTTGGCTTCTCCATTGAGTTTCCTTGTGGGAAGTTGGCAGTGAGTGTCAGAAATCCTTCCTCCCTCCCTCCTTCCCTTTTCTTTCCTCCCTCTTCCTCCCTCTGTCCTTACCAGTAGGTAAGGGGCTGCTGTTGGGTGGAGGATGGACTGAGGGAGTGGACAAATGACCAGTGTGTATGAGTTCAGAGAGGCTGGTGGAGGATGCACCGTTTCTCCATTGACATCTCCCTGCAAGCTTCCCACAAGCAAAGGAAGTAGGAAGGTGGTAAGGAGTTTCGACAATCATACCATTTCTTTCTGAGTTTCTCATTGACTTGTGGGAAGTTCTCGGGATATGTTAAAATGAGGATCACTTTACTACGGTTCACTGTTATGTGGCAGCAGCAAGAGGTGCTGAAGTGGCAAACAATTTTCCAAATTTCATTTTTTTGGGAGTAATGAGTCCCAACATTCTGTAAATTAGCCCATTTGAGGTACACCTGTTGACAGAGTTTTGCCCTATGATGCAGCATTTCGCCCAATTGAAGGTTACAAAGTTTCAGACACAAGTGTTTTAGTAGTTTATATAGGGAAAGTAGTCCTTTTTGCTGCAAGAACCAAAGAGAAAGATCAGAGTTCCGAAAAGCAAATACTGAATATACTTTCTATTTTGTTCTTAGGAATTATTGATCAGTTCTCTATCTCTTGCCATTCTTCCCCATGCAGAAAACCTTCCTACTGGTTTCTATTGCTCCTTTGAGGATGGAGAGTGTGGCTGGACTCAAAGTTCATCAACTTCACCAAAGGCCCAAATGTGGCATATTGGGAATCCAGAATATCGTCACTTTTGTTCACTGAAAGGTAGATCACGGTAAAATTATACAACTGGGTGAACTAAGCGGTCTGTCAAAGGAGTTAGGATGTGATGGGGATGAAGCCATTGTTGTTCATTTTGATAGTTGGATCTTTTTTATTGTGTTTTTTGCAACAGGAAGAAAAATCAGAAAATACTTTTCTGACACAGCATTAGTAAGAGAGTCCACAGGCAATACAAATGTATGATTTTTTTAAAAAAAATAGGACTCGTAGAAAATCATCTTGTTTAAGATTAGTAGCATTGGTAAATTGGCAACTCTTAATTTGGTTATTAATGGTGTACATTGTCAGAAGCAATGCCTTATCAACTTGATTGGTAAAACTTAGCAGGCTTGGCCCTGGTCAGTACTTGGAGCAGGCATTAGTAAATAAAGAACTAAAGTGAAAGTGAACTATTTCTGTAAACTGCAGGGAAAACTGAATATAGTTTTCAAAAATTGAGATCAAAGATGTCACTATAGATAATCCTCAACTTACGATTGGTCATATAACAACTGTTTGAAGTTATGACAGATTCCTCCCCCCCCAAAAAAAGCTACTTATGACCTAGTTTCAGTGTTATAGCTGATGCAGCACCCCTTACACTCTAGCTCTCCTACCCAATCTAGTCACTCAGCTACCCAAGAGAGCCTCAAGCCAATTATATTATGATTATAACTCAATGTCTACTTGTTCTTTAAGATATTAAATAACTGGAGGAAAAAATATTGTTTCATTTATAATGTTCAGTAAGTGAGAGCCCTGAATTACCATTCTTTTAGTGTTTTCTCTCAACCAGGTAGCCTCCAGATGTGCTAGACTATCCTTATCATAATCCACCCCACCAATTAACTGAAGTTCAGCAGGTCTTAAATCTACTCTATTGAGAAAAAATGCTTTATAAACATATACATGACTCCTGGCTTCCAGCTTTGGTGTGACAGCATTTCTTCCTCATTTGTAGTAGAAATAGTTCATTCAGAATAATAAAAAATAGATGCCTTTTGATACAAATCACATGAACAAAACAAATCACAAACAAAGGCTATACATTATAAGTGATAGAAAGAGAGATCTTGGAAAATAAATGAAATTGTATTATGATATCTTTAAAATATTGAAAATTCCTAGCATAATGTAAGACCACCTATGATTTTCATGTGCAGTTTCATATGAAGGGTTATTTCACAGCTCTTGCAACACAGAAACCTCACCTGATTGTGTTGCTACACAAATGTTCCATGAAAACATTAACTAATTTCACTCTAATAATTTATGTACCTTTCCTCCCTTTTTCTCTGCAGAATGTGCCCTTTTGCTTAATACCAGTGAGAGTCCCATTGCAGAGACAGTTATGGTGACTAGTGCTGTATTTCCAGCTCCAATGAAGAATTCTCCCTGTGAGGCAAGTGTGTTTAGATAAGGTTTAAAAAAAAGAGATGCAAAAAGTGTTCCTTGCAATTTTATGAATATCTATGTCATCCTTTATTTTGAAAACCCTTCAATATAATTGAATTCATCTCCACAATCATAAGGTAGACCTTTGACCATGTACATGCCAGTTTTTGCCCATGCTGTGATTTTATAACAAATGTTTGTAGACATACATAATGGAATCTTGGTTCAGTCATGGTGCTCAGATATATACTCATAAACTTCTTCATATATGTGCATGGATTTGTCATTGCCGTATAATTCTTAGCATTTATTAATCTCATTCAGTGTAATGATAGCTGTCAGCTTAGATGATTACCTTAAATTTGGACTAGATAAATTGAAAAAGTGGGGCTATCACTAATAGATGAAGTTGATTGCTGTAAAGGTTCCTAATTACAACATCTATTTCTTAGGTATAAGGTGCTAGGGATCAACAGAAAAAGAGTACTATTGTCTTCCATGGCCTAAGTTTCCTCAATGCCTCTGTTGATTACTGTATGGCACATAATTCTAAACTGCAATATATCAAGCAAAGCAACTTTAAATTGTATAGATTTCAATTCCCAGAATTCCTCAACCAGCAAGCGGGTGAGCACTTCATTAGAGGGTGAACGCTGATAAATCCCTGACATCGTTTTCATCATCATCTTAGTATCAGAAATCAATCATTAATAGAAGAGGGTAGCCATCACAGTGATAGGAGCATTGCTAGTTATAAAATACTTGTTTTGAAATGGGAAATTGTGTGTCTTTCATATTTGTATAACGATGTGAAACTGAGTTTGAAATGAGATTTATATGCTAACATGTACATAATTTTGTATTAGATTTTATATACAGAGATATATTTTGGATTTATTGAGTTAAATCTTTAGTTTCCCCTTTCATCCTCAACTGTAGGATTTTTTTCAGATTATAAAACTTTGCTTTACAGTCTGATTGTATTTGTGCCCAGCTTCTTTCAGATAATGAGATACTTGCTATCTTCATCCAATTGACATGTTGACACAGATACCCACTTGTTCCCCTGTTGTGTCTTATCTTTATCCTTTTTCTTTTAAAGAGTCCCTCTTTTCCTTTCCCCCAGCTGAGGTTCTAAATATTTAAAAACTTCATTTTGTTACACCCAAGCAAGTATGACTATTTCTCATAATTTGCCTACTATCAATAGATAGGTGAATCATTTCCTAATATGTGTTTTTATATGTTCATAAACAAGGTGAATAATTAAATTTTCATTTAAAAGGAGATCAAGGAAAGAGGGAGATCAGTTACATCTACATCTAAAGTTTTACCTCTTTAACTTTCCATGATGCTTTTGAAAATGTGCTCATAGAGAGCCAGCATTGTAACTGTACTAAAGATTCAACAGACTCTCTGTCTGTCTGTCTCTCTGTCTGTCTGTCTCTCTTTGTGTTTGTGTGTGTGTGAGAGAGAGAGAGGGGGGGAGGGAGAGAGAGGGGGGGGGTTGTGCAAAAACTCTTCATTCTGAACAGGTCCTTGCTTGCAGCTTCATATACTGGAATAATTCAACAGCATTATTGGGCCCATTGCAAGGAGAAATCAAATCTTTGGCCCCTAATTCTTCCTGAGGATGGATACAAGTGATCAGGTTTATTACAGAGTAATAGTTATGACTGTGAAATTACAATTTTGCTACTCCATATATCCTTCTTCACTATCATTCCTTTTTCCCAACAGTCTGCCTTAAATTCAGGCTCAAATTTCTATTTGTCCTGCACACAGGTCTTTTTTTCTCACTAACTGTTTAAATGAGCTTTTCAAAATTTGAGCAACTGGAATTTTCCACCACAACTGAATCTGGTATCTCATTAAGAAAAATGCATCTTACTGATAATTCTATTAACCTTCTAATGAAAAAATTAACACAAAACTTAGATCTCTATCTGCAAAAAGATCTAAGGCTTTCTTTGGGCTTCCCAGAAAATTGGTCTCTGTTCATGTCCAAGAATATTTGGTGGGACCATATTAAAATATTCATTCCAAACTGGACAGCACCATAAGGTGAGATAAGTTGACATGTTAATCAGAATCTCTGCAGATAGTGTTTGCTTGTTATTTGAAACCTAACAAAGCTTTAACATATTTGAGGTGGGTAAAGAAACATTGTTCTAAATCCTAATATTGGATGATAGTGTAAAATGAGATCTGATACTTCCATCCATAGCCTAAGACACCTTTTGCTAGGGAAAACTTTATATACAGTAGCTTACTATGGTCTATTCTAGTTGGCAACATTTGTCTAGAATCTCAGGTGAGAGCTTGTTTTGAATTCTAAGCAGCTCTTCAAATCTTGCCAGGAGAGTTCCAATATTACTCTCATTATAGAGGTGTTCTGAGCTTCAAATGACTTCATTTTGAATTCAAAACACTTACAAAATGGTCAGAACAACCCTGTAAAATTGGAATAACCTATTTTAAACTAGATTTTTTTTCTAAGTTTGAAATAGTTAGCATACTCCTATATAAAAAAGAGACTGGAAATCTTAAGCCTTTAAAACCAGCTTAAAAAGAGTCAGTCAGGAAGATTTATATATAGGTATATATATATTACCTAGTTCTTGCAAACATCTATGAACTAAATCTTGAACAAGTTAAAGCTTCCAACACATTTTAAACAGGCAACACAGTTAAATGATTAGAATCACAAAATGATCTAAGATCTACGGAATGTTACAGTCTCCTGTTTGAGTAGGGGATTGGACTAGGTCTCTTCCAATTCTGTTAATACAGACCCTTTTATCCTCTTCTGTTGCTGAAGCTACAATAAGTGACAGAAGCTATGTATTTGTTGCCAGGCATTAGAAACATACTATCTTTTACTCTGAACATGTACAGTATTTATATTCTTTCATAGACAGATTCATATCATTTCACCAAAAGGCTGGAACTGCTTACATTTTATTGATTCACTTTGCCTCCATATACAAGCCATGGTCAAAACCAAAACCTTAAAATGCTGCTCATACGATATTGCCATCCCTTTCCAGAAATAAAATGCTGAAGAGAGTTCCATTCCAATTTGAACAAAGGTGTGACTATATCACAGAAGGAGTTTTCTCCACATCAAATCTTCAAATAGCTCATTTTGAGAAACTCCATCAGGTAAAAATTGTTTCCATTGAAAAACAGTAGTAAATTTGTGCTCCTAATGATGTGTTCATCCTTCTTCCCATAAAACATGTTCTGACCTTGCTATCCCATGGGAAATTGAATGATCTAAATTTATGTTAGGTCAATGTTAAATACATTGTATATCCTGTTGCAGGTGCTATTTCACCTTCCATATATCTATCATAGGATTAAAGTTGCCCCAAAGTTTTACAAACAAGGAACTTGTCATCACTGAATCAGGATACATCAGAGTTCTTTGATCACTAATCTCTTTTCCAACAAATAATGGAGGTGGCTTCAGCCTCTAGCAGGATAGAGTAGTAACTATGAATCAACAATCACAGTTTTCCTTTCTATGTATGGTTTTATCTCTGCTAGAGGAGACAGGGAAAAACCACTGCTTTTTTTGCATATATGAAGCACACAGAGTGATGTTTTTAAATCAAGCATGGCTTAATTAGTACAGACATAAAAATGAACTTTCCAAACAGAGAATCTGAATTCATGCCATTCAAGTGGAAATTCTAATCTTATAACTGTATGAAGTATTGTTGATGCTGCATATTTTCTTCCTCTAGTATTACTTAATACCAATAGTGCTTAATAGATAGAATTGTAATGGATCCATCCAAGATAATTCTTAATTTCTTATCTTCTAAGGAAAGAAGATTAAAAAAATTGTTTGTTTACTTATTTCCTACTTAGTAAATCACTGAGCTCTTTCAGAAACATTGTCATGGGAACAGTCTCCTTAGGGCAGAATAGTAGGTTCACAAATATAGTAGATGATATCTACTATCATAGATAATGATAGTAACTATCTACAATAGGTGATATCCCAAAGATATAAAATGCCCTAATTTGGATTTTTTTAATAAGCCAAAAGCTTGTATGCATTTACTATGTAATGGTTTCTATGTTATGTAGAAATTAACTTCCTGGCTATATCGTACATTTTCTAAGGATGTTATACAATCAAGAATCTATTTGATTTTGTAGTTTATAATAATAGTGTTAAGGAACATTTTGGTTAAATGCCAAGGGCTTCAGTGTAAATATTGGTGCTATTGCAGTTATGTTTCAATGTGATTTATTTTAACCCCATTATACATTTTCCTATTTAGTGAATCAGTTAAGCTGTCAAAGTCCTGATGAGTCAGTGTCCACTCAGGATGGGTAATTACATTTCTAGTAGGATTTCTGGCTTTCATTTTATGAAAATTCCTGGCAAGGGAGCCATTTTGTAGTAAAGGGAAAAGCCAGAAATAATGGCCATTCTTTCTCTTTTCTCTTTTATTCTGTTTATGTTATTCTCCAATAAACCTTTGTTTTGTTAACCAGAAAAAAAAGTCAGTTATTTTAAAACATAGTACAAGTTGCTTTCAGGCTTCATCATACAGAGAGTGCCATCTATCATTGCTGAAGATCTCATATGTAAAAGGAGTGCCAGTCCTATTGGCCATCAGGATTCAAGGCAGTCAGATCATTGCGTGCTCTTGTTCAGTTTATCTGGACTCAGCATGTCCTACTGCCTCAGAATCCCCTACTGTAGAGCTCAGGATCTGAGAAATAAAAGTGAAAGGCATTCATTCAGGAAGCAGGTCAGCTAATTCAATCTGAGCCAGTTCATTACAGTCTCTTCTATTGCTTTTTGCAAATACATTGAGCTCCTATACATGATACCAATAATTTCTTTCATCCAAGCAGCTGACGTGTGCAAACTAAAACATCCTTTACAATTTATGAAAGGCTTTAGGTATATATCTAATCTTTTTGATAATAAGGTGAGGAGAGAATGCTGCCTCGGGATTTTTAGACAGGGCAGGACTCTCT